AAGAGCGTGAAAAAATAGCAGAGGAAGAATTATCTGCTGTGGAATTCCTCGAAGCACAACTGCAGCCAGCTCAGTATGATACACTGGAAGAAGCAGCCAACGAGGAGACTCAAGATGAAGATGATGATGTTGCTGGCAGCAAGTGCTCTGAGTGCAGTCACACAGGGGATACACAGGAGCAACAGAAAACAACTAGTGAAGGAGAAGGAGCTTCTGTGAAGCAGAACCCTGTAGAAGAACATGTTGGTGAAGGTGAAGAACAGCCCTCCTTGGAAGAGCTGTCCAGGAAATCTCTGAAAATCACAGCTGAACCTGGTCCCCAGCAAGAGCAAGATAATCAAGACACGCTCAGTGCAGATGGGCAAAATCAAGAATCTGCCATGGGCCAGCCCAGGACTGACAGAGATGTGGAAGGAAACCACCTGAAACATAAAGCAGCGATGCCTACAGGATGCAAAGGAATTGAAAGAAAAGAGTCACTAAGAGGCTCGTGGAAGCAGATTGAGGCAGAAAAACAAGGTTCAGAAGACAAAGAGAAGGCAGCAGTGATTATTCAGAGCAGTTACCGGGATTACAAAAGGAGGGGACAACTCAGAAAAGAAGGGAAACTACCTTGCAAAAGTGAAGAGAAAACTGTAAAGGAGACAACAGAAGCAGCAGAGCTTCAAAATAATGATCCCAAAAAAGCAAAAGATAGGGAAAGCACCAGTACTGATGCTGAAGACTCTAAGACACTGAAGGGAGACTCAGAGAAAGAGGCTTGTGATTTGGCAGCCTTTTCACGGCAGGTAAGAAGTTTGTAAGCTACATATGTTGAGCATAATACCCTGAGCAATGACAGAATAGCAAAGTTATACTGCTGCCTTCAGGGGCACCAAGGTTTTACTCTCTATACTGAGACTGAAATGTTGTAATGAGTGTTCTAAAAATGCATATTTTGAGCTGCAAGAGAAAATACTCTTCAGAAAGGAGGGAAAGACAAAGTTAGAGCACTGGCAAAAATATGTGTTACTTTTAACCTGGCTCAGGTTAAATGCAGAAGCTTTGCCTTTGTTTGTTGAAATGCACATTTACCTGGCCTTGCCCTTAAAATTCAAGTAAACTTGTGAAATGTCTCTGCAAATGAAACTAAAATTTGCTGTGTCGATGTCAAGGACTCACATGTGCACAGAAGCAGCCCTTCAGCTGTAGCAGCTATTTTGCATCAGCAAGTCACTGTCCACTCACCTGTGTGAACCAACACGAAGCACCTGCAGGACTGGGCTGCAGTGTGGAGTTTCATACAAGTCTTTATTATTTCTTCTTCTTTTTTTTTTCTTTAAGGAGGATGGGAAAGTAACTCTGGTAGGGGCCTACACTGCAGTGGGTAGAGCAATATTTTTTTAATTCAGTCTGTAGTCCACTATTTTACCTTTTGTTACTTTGGAACATAGATATTTATTTATAAAATAATGTAAAATCCTATATTATATTTTTCAGATATCAAAATTATCTGAAGATTACTTAGCATTGCAGCAAAAATTGAATGAAATGATATTGTCACATCAGCTGAGACCCATGACAATCTCCAAAGATAAGCAAGCTAATGGCCAACTTTCTTCTCATGTTTGTCAGTCAGGTAATGTTGAACCTTGTTGTTAGCAGAATTTTCATTTGTAAACAGAACTGCCAAGAAGTGATTCCCAGTCATCTTTTTAAAAGCCAGGGAACTAACAGATCACTTAGCTCTGGCTTGTTGTATATCTCAGACTGTTCATTTTTGTACTAAACCCCATATCAGTACATGTCTGGAACATAGTTTCCAGAGGAATATCCAAGTCTGGTTGGAATTTACATATTTACCATTTTCTTGGTATTTTATTTCAGTATTGCTTAAGATTGATGAATGAATCATTGTAACACCTAGACATAACATCTCTAGAAATACTTTTATTTAGTAAAAATTCCACATTGGCTCTTTTTTACTGCTATGTTGTTTAACTCTATGTGCTATTGGTAAGGTATGGGACTATGTTTTAAAAACAAAGTATTTTTTAGCTACTATGCTAAGTAACTTACCGAAGTTTGTCACATTTATGCTGAGTAACATTTAGGTATCCACAAATGCAACTGAGGCTATCAAAACTTGTAACTCCTACCCATGCTGGTGGGTGTGTCCATAAAATTGCAAGCAAAGTTTTATTAATAATTGGCATCCATTTAACTCACGCACTTAAGAGTACATTACCTCTGAAAATGCATTCCAAAGTTATTTATATTCCAGTTAACATGGCTGGTGTGGGTTCCCAAAACACCAGCACAGTTGGAGCAGGTTAGGTGGGAGTGGGGAGTGTACTGGGAGAGTAAAAGTGGAAGATACAGGATTTAGGGCATGCAGATCATTAAGACCTGTACCCCACGGAGAGGTCCATGAAGAGCTGAGGTGTTCAAGCCTCTTCAGTTGGCATAGATGTAACAGGGGATTTCCTCAGTCTGTGTCTTGGGCCACAGATACGGAGGAAGATGAGTACAAATGTGGCAGATGACTAGATGGGTCTCAATTTCTGCAGGGGCTTTTGTGCCAGCCTGTGCCACTTCACTGCCTCTGGGGAGGTCTCTGCTCAACCCTGCACAGCTGAGATCAGATCCAAGAGTGTCTCTTGCTGCCCAGAGCTAACTGTATTACTTTAGTTGTAACAGTGTGGATTTGGTTGTCATATATGCTGAAACTTCTTTCTGTTCCCATGGCTACCCTGAAGATATCCTAAGAGTACTTCAGCCCCACTTTGCACTCCTCTCCAATGGGCAAGCTGCTAAAATGGGAGCTTGGTGTTTACAAAATCTAAATCTCTAAGTGTATACTGACTGCCAGGAGGTTATCTTTGTAGTCCAGCCTGTTTCTAATACCAAACACTGCCAGATAAAACAGATGTGAAATGGAGAACTAAGTGCCATTATCTTTCATTAAAGACAGAGCAATGCTTGTGATTGTTGTTAAGGGGTTTGTACTGAGTTGTTAAAAAACAGGAATATTTAATAAATAAGATAAACCTGAAGCATTAAAAATTAATGCTTTGGAAAAATAACTCTTGGTTCTTACATGTTTTCCTACAGAAGCTAGAGAAGAGAGGTAGATAGAGGGATACTCAAACCCTCATTTTATCAGTTAAAGATCTCATTACTTACCCAAGTGAACCAGGTGAAAATGTATCAGTCTGTTCATGCCACTTGCAGAATGGAGCAGTGTCTACCCTTCACATTGCTATATATTTAAGTAGCTCTACAGGAGACAAAAGGAAGCCAGAGTTTGTTCTCTGTGCATGCAACCCTGCTTAAAGTGTGAGCCACTTCCCTTTACCACTGAAAATGTCCCACTGCTTTAAACCTCTGTCATGTCACAACAGTGTTTTTCCAATGGTAAGGAGTGTGGAAGTGCTGCGTTGTATCCTTTTGAACATCAACAAGAAAAATGTCATACATTTCTTTGAACTAAGTCAAAATACTTTTTAAGGCAACACAGAAGTTGTTGAGTTGCATAAGCCATCAGGTCTTTTGCCTCACTTTAATAACTAGATGGAAATATGATTTATTTATTTTTTTTACAAGCTAATGTTTTGTGGTCTTAACAAAAGGAAGATTTATTTTCATTATATTTTCTCCCAACAAATATATGTTGCATGTACAACATGACAGCACTTAGCTCTTTTGTGCACCAGGCACAATCTTTATGGAAATTCTGATTACTTACAAAGTCCCCTTTTTTTTTCTCTTATGGATGCAAAAATTGAATGCTTGCTACCTTGACTTGACACTTGACACTTGCTACCTTGACACTTGAAAAAAGTGTCAGCAACAGTAATCATAACTTTAAACAGTAGGAAGCATCATAAAGATAGTCCTGAATGCTCATATTCATATAGATACTGTGTAGTCAAGGCATGCTCATTACAAGATGGCTCATGCCAAATTTTTTGCACTTTTTTATTCCCAAATAAATATGGTGGACACATACTTTGGGTTTTTTATTAAATTTCTGCAAATTGCCACATAGACAAGGTGAACACGGAGCTCAGAAGGAGTTACTCTTTTCAAAGGTGACTGCATTTTAAATTAAATAGTAGGTGCTGTTTGACTGAGAAGCTATGACTGAGCTCACTGCAGAAAAATGTGCCACTAAAGCACAGGCCAGCTGAAGTTGTCCTACTTGCTGAGACCTGCCCTTAACCATTGTAAAGCACAAGCTACCTCCCTCCATCTCAAACCAAACAGGCCCTTCCAGCCTGTTTGGTGCTGCCCAGCTCGTCACTCACTTGAATGCTCTGCTTCAGTAAGTCAAACCACCCCAAAAACAGCCCTCCTCCAGTTCTCATTAGAACTCATGTTCCAAATCTTTCTGTAGCCAGCTTGCCCTTGATACAACAGGCAGTATTACATTTTGGGCTGGGTCTGCCTCCCTGGCCCTTCTTGCCTAGCTGGTCTGAGCTGGGCAGCCACTGCTTGTGCTTGCTGTGTTCTGTTGTTGACCCAAGTACCTTGTACACCTGACGTGGCTACTCCTTATAAATGTAACAAAGCTGGCTTTTGCCAGACACGGAACTTTGAAAAAAAAGAAGGAAGGCCAGCTGGGCTCTAGTCTAACACTGTGTTCTGCCAGACTTCCTGGCCACGATGTGCAGTTTCACTCTCTGCAGCGTGGTTGGACAGTGGCTCAGTGCTCACCTAAGATACAGAGCGATGGCAGCAGGAACCTGAGCCCTGATTCCTCACATCCCCACAGCCATATTTATCACCACTAACCAGTCCACTGAAAGATCTTTCTTGGTGTAGAATGTGAATTTCTTTTTCTACATTCAAACATAATTCACACAACAGGAAAACTATTTCCTTTCCAGCTATGATCAGTGCAACAGGATACTAAAGGAAGAGAAAATGCTGCAGTAATTCCCAGCTTGCCTGTGAGAGTCAGTTGGAGCCTAAGCATTACAGAGCTTAATCAGAAAGCTGTGTTGTTTAAACTTAATTAGATGTTTATTTGAGCAAATATTATCTAACTAGATATAGAGAATATTTAAGTAAAAATAAGCCTGTGTTCATATAATTTAGGTTGTACTATTTGCAACACAGGAATTACCAGCATTTGGGATATTGAACTTTTTTTCTGTATGCAATATAGTAAGACAAATACATAAAACAAAGACTTGAGGTAATGTATCACAGGCTATTATGCTAAAGTGAAGCAGGTAGACATGGTGAGTGATCCACTGTCTATTAAACAGGGAGAAGCCTTCCTGTCTTCTTTCCTATCCTATGTGTTACAGTACAAATTATACATGCACATTTACAGAAGGATATGTTTTTTCTGTAGATGACCCTCTAGGGCTGCCTTTGCTGTCCTTCCCTTATGAAGGCAACAGTTGTTGAGCTTTAGCTGCTCTTTAAATCATGTATTTGCCATTTGTAATTACTTTGGTCATTTACGTTTATGTACACTTCTTCCTCAGCTTCACTAGTTTTATATATCATTTTACAGCTATAACATGTGAATTGTACTTTATAGCTGTATGTCAGATAAGAATACTTATCTGCCTTCATCTGTGGCTTGGTGGCTGTTGTTCAGTTTGAGAATTTACCAGCTCCTCTGATAAAATACTTTATTGCATTGCTATCCACAGAAGGGGAGGAACTGTGGGGCAGCTGTATGGCCTTCTTTGACAAATGTTCAGCTTTTCAAAACTGTTCATTTTATTAAAAATGCGAAGCCTGCCGTTTAAAAAAGGTATGAGCAAAAAGGCTAAATGAATGCTAAATCCACAAGGTTAACTTGTTCTTAAGTAAATTTATTTGTGTTTATAAAAATGCGTAAAGTGAGCTGCACAAGGTTCCTGGAATAAACAATGTTCCCTGTGGATTGAATATCTGGGTAGGTTATTTTTGCTTGCTAAATGCATTCAGCTAAACATAATGGCTGCATCCTAGGACTGCACCTTTGGACTGCTAGTGAGCTTTGGGTTACAGTGGTGACAGAATAAATGCACAAATAGCCACTGTCAAGGTTTTTGAGATCCAAGCCTGAAGTGAGGGAAATTTGATCATTATGGGAGCAATTTATTTATATTTTTTTCTCCAGATGGATAATGTTGTCCATCCTTGTAAGTATTAAATGACAGTTCAAGTACAAAATCTCAGAAAGAGAATTTTCTATATTTAGAATGAAATTCACATGGAACTCCAGTGCAGCTGAGGATCTTTTCAGCTACACAAAGCAGTGAGGCAGGCAGGGTTTTCATCCAGGATTCCTCCTGCTGCAGCACTATTGCATAGGCTTTGTGGGCAGCCTTTTCAAGGAAAAGGGAGCCTGTGTAGCACTGGGTGTGCACAGCAGTATCCATTGGCTGGTCTTTCTTCTTTGTGAGTGAGTGGCCAGCCAGGGAGCACCCAGGCATGGGACTGGAGAAAATCAGGGTAGTCAAAAACTTCTGCTGCTTGGTCATTCTCAACTACTACAGTGGGCCTTTGGACATGGTGCAGCCAGGACATAGCTGTGTTGGGAGATAATCAGATCCATGCTGAGCATGATATTTGGGAGGTTGTGGAAGCAGAGTACAGCCATTTTCCTTAAACATCCTCTCCTAAATAGCAATAATCCCAGGTCACCAGACTCTCCAAAATGAGAGTATTAGTGTCAGAGGATGAATCCACTTCCCTCAGTGGGGCTAGCAGGACTTGAGCATGAGAGATCAAACACTCTCACCTTCTGTGGGATGCAATTGGGAAGTTCTCAGTCTCTTGCAGTTTCTAGTTCTAGGTCTGTGCCAGAATGATCCCTCTGTTTTCTCCAGATTGCTAAGCATTTGCACCCGTCAACTCTAATTTAAAAATCTGGCTGTGGTAAATGTCCCATGAATAAACAATACCTAAAAATTACTAACCAGAGTATTAAAAAGCAGTGCTTTTCTATGTGGAAATCCCATACGTGAGTAATTACATCCTCATACTGTGTACAGTTAGGACAGTAAAAAGGTATGCACATAAATGTTGTAAGCAGTAATAGCTGTTCATGTCTCATTATCAAGTCCTGGAATTCCAGTTACCACATTTGCATTTTTCTGATTACTTCCAAGCCCCTCTACAAACCCTATACTATTACTTCCTGCTTTATTGTGAGCCTGGCTTTATACTTCCTGCCCCCATGAGATGTGGAATAGCACTGAATCAAGCATGTAACATTTCACTTAAATGACCTGAAGACAGGTTTATCTGTTTCTCCAGGTAGCCTAATAAATAGACTTTTGATCACTTAGATGCTTATCACAGCTGTAACAATACTATTTTTCCAGTCTTCAGTATAAGATCAGTTCTGTGTCATACATTGATTTACATTAGCATCCATGGATGTTGATTCCTTGAGATTGTTGTCTTCCAAGCTTATCGTTGTATGTCTGAATGTGCACAGTTCAGCCTAAAGGGCTGTTGATACTGACTCATCTTTATTCAGACATTCCTTGCTCATACTTGAATGTTTCAAGCACATGCAGAGCTCTGCAGTTTCTGTAATTTGTGGTGGTATTCAGGATTCACATACATTAAATGAGCTGGTCCCAGTTTTCATCATCCCTCTCATTTTTTCAGTGTATTTGGAGTTTTCAGTGAGGACTGAGTATGAACATAGTAATACCTTGTCACTGAGCACCATAGAGTGGAAGAGTGTGTATGCAACTTACGTAGGAACCTTTGAGGTAGCGTTAAATGAGCTAGCTGAGATACTGATAGGAAAAAGGAATTTTCCATACATTTGCTAAACCTTCCTTAGTGTTACCTGGCAGCCACAGTGTTCACATGCCTTTGCTGACCCTTAACTCTGTAATTCACTCATTCCCATGGAGAATAACCTTCACTTTTATTATACTTTCCATCCTCACTTAATCAAATTTATGTTCTGACAGTCTGCTTCAGGTTTGGGCAGCAGAGAGATGTAACTTCCTAGGCATGGGTTACAGCATAGCTGAAATTCACTGTTAAGCTTCAAAAGCAAAGCATCCATGTCATGAGAGCAAAACCTCATTCATTTGACTAACTGAGTACTAACTGTACTTACTCAGTCCAGATCCTTAGCTGTCCTAGTGACTAACTGGGACATAACCTTAAGCAAGTCTCAGAGTGTCTTGCTTTGTGCATCTCATTTCCCCTCCTGGATGACAATACCAGCCTTACATTTCCAAAGTGCTTTAACAGCTACTGTTGTCAATAGTTTTTGTATCAATGTTGTAACATACATATCTAAGTGTTTCTTAGATAGAAAGCATCTGTTTTCTTTTATATATAAAGTGCATGGTCAGATCTTGCTAGAGATACTTGAAGTCTTAAGGAAAAATAGGCTACAAGATATTTTACTATGGAGAAACTGAGCTTAAATAAAAACCTTTTCTTTGTAATGGACTCTAGAAGCAAGATAATTGGCCTATTAATAAGTGAATGATTTTACTCCTTCTTTCTGCTTCATTGCCTACTGCAGAAGGGTACAGGCCATCTGGAAAAGAAGTGCATCAAACTCACCATTTATCAGGCTTGGGTATCTAATCTGCCTTCGACCTTTACCTCTACTAAGTAAATGATTTCTCGGATTATCAGCAACTAATGAAAAAGCAAATTTTACCTTGTGCAGTGAGTTATCCAATACGAGCAACTACTTCATCAGCTTTGTTTCAGTAGCAGTGAACACACAAATCTAAGTGCTGAAGGAAAACACAGGTTCACTTTCTGGTGAAACAAAGAAAACTAAATCCATCAAACTATTTTTTACTTGCTGTGAAATTTGGAAACAGAATTCCAAATTGCATTTTACATAATTGTAAAAAGGAATGACAGAGGTTCAAGCTTAGAAGGCTGTCTGCCCCAACATGGTATTTCTGTCCCCTCTGTTCTTTTGCATAGCTTATAGATATGTACAACACACATGCTGAAATGAAAAGATGTTTCTTACTGAAGACCTTATCATTGTCAAAATTGTTTTTTTTGAATGAAAGGGCAGTCTTCTTTGCAAAGCATATGCACATTATGAATACAAGTAATTTCAGTGGGAATAATTTTAATCTAGAATACGGTAATGCTTCGTGTGTTTGACAGTGATAAATTAAATAACAGAACAGCATACATAGTGATGAATTCCTGGGGAACAATAAAAAATTTTGGCATTATGAGAGCCTTTTCCTTGGGATTTTCCTAAAGCCCCCAATTTGGCTTAATTTTCTTTTTCCAGATTTTCGTACAGTCATGATCTTTGACACAATTTTTGAAAATGCCCTCCAGACAAGGAGTTAGGTGTTTCTATTCAACTACATTGAATTTTAATGGTTTTTTTTTTAAGGTACTGTTTCCAGTTTAGGCTCCCGTTGTGTTTAAAAATAAAATACAGAAGATATGCCTCTCCTCTGTCACAAATGAAAACTCACATAACTCCAGGTGACTCATTTGAAATGCAGCAGAGTAACAACAGCCCACAAAAGAGCACAGTCAGGCCTACTATTCCTATTCAAATAAAAAACAGAATTTATATTTAATACAAGTTACTGAAATTAATTTATTTCATCTACATTTTATAGTTTAAAGTGAATTATCCATACCCTGGCTTAGAAAACAACATTGTTCTCTTAAGTGCAAAATGTTAAAAGATACTTGTTCATTCATTACCTGAGAAGCAGTCTGCATTTCAGATAAGAAACCAAAACAATAAATGTAATCATTATCCAACTACAGTTCAAATTAACATTATTCATCATGCCTCCTCTGTATATCCATGACCTTTACAAGCCTTTATTTATCACACAGAACAAAAAAATTAGCTAATTTTGCAGGAGTCAACACTGATGTATTACTGATCATTTCTCATTTAAAATGATTCTGCCACCTCCTTAATTAAAAAGATGTCTGACGTACATGGGAGAGTTTATATTTTTATCATGTAAAAGGGTTTCTGATGGTCATTAAAGAACAACATACATTCTTCCTTCTAAGACTCAATCACATAGAGTTAGCACATGGAGGTTATGGAGTTAAAGTCACTTCATGTGAAAGAGGGTAAGACCAGCAGAATACAGTTCAGTAATTTATTGTGAGCTATATCCTCAGTCCACTCAAAAAGTAGATACATTTATGGGTAAGGACATGCTTTTTCTCATGGACTGTCCTCTGAATTCTTCTGTGATGGGACAAGGACAATCCAAAGCCTCACTGGATAATGCAGGATACATATTGTTCACCATGCCTACACCTTGTGCCGTGACTTCATTCATGATGTGCCCCCATGACCCATCTCTATCATAGGTGTTCTGCTGCCCTGAAATCCCCACCTCCTTCATCATGAAGGAATTGCTGTAGCCCTCTATTCACTTTTTCTATAGATGAAGGTGATGGGGCTCTGAGAAATCTCTTCTAGTTTGAGATGTCCCTGCTTATTGTAGGGGGGTTGGACTAGATGACCTTTATAGGTCCCTTCCAACCCAAGACATTCTATGATTCTTATGTAAGGTGATCATGCTCACCAAACTGTACATTTGTGATTCCTCAGCCTCCAAGAATCAGTTCTGTGGTCTCAGAAGCTATGAGCCTATGGACCCTTGCCAGCCCTATATCTTAGCACTGTAAGAATTGCATATAGTTTTTTAACAAGGAGTTATCCAGGACATTGGTCTAGTTCCTCATGTGCCAGCCAACATAACCCACAAATCAGTGTCTAACTCTGAGTTTGGAGTCTGCCAGAGGGCAGCAGTTCCATTTTATGTTAAAATCTTGATTTTGTTTCCAGTAGAATGAAAACACTTTTTGCATGGTTGCAGAAGACCAGAAGCTAAGTACACTAAACTAGATTACACTGAATGTGATGAACATGGTCATGCTGTGTTTCTCAGTGGTACATGATTGGGCTTGGAACAGAACAGCCTTATCAGGAGACCTTGGGGAGAATGTACATGTACACCATGATAATGTAGAGGACTAACCTGTGAATTGGAGTTCTAATGCTAGTTCCTTTATTCATTACCTTAGTGATTGAACTAAGGTTGAAAATACTACCTCCCCACCATCCAGGTCTCTGCTATGAGATGATCACCTTCCAGAGACAGTACTTTTCAGAGTCCTTTTCTGAATGTGGAGCATCAGACCTTCTCATGAGGAAAGGCCTGTGCCAGGCAGACTGCTGGGCTGTTCCAGCCTGACATTCATTATATGGCATGTGTCCGTGTGGGAGTCAGGACTGAAATGGATAAACCTATTCTGCTTTACAATCTGGTCATGGAAATGCCCTGAACAGTTGCTTTCTGGATTCCTGCAAGCAGTAAAAGTGGCTATGTGGATTTTTTTGCTCTCTTTGGTGAAATTATCTCCTGTTTTTGTAAAAGTCTCCTGTTCTGTAAATAAATAAGCTTTGCTATCTTCTCCTTTTTTATAGTTGCAGCCAAAGTAGAAGAATCTCGCCCAAAGCAGAGACCTCCAAGGAGGCCACGGAAGCCTAAAACATTAAATAATCCAGAAGACTCCACCTACTACACTCTAATACATGTGAGTTTACTAAGCTTTTGTGGACTAAGACTGCCAGATAATTCCTACCTTAACTTTCTTTCTAATTGCCCAATTTCCTATATTCCTTTCTGATACAACATAAAAACTGTGGCCTGCTGAAAGGAGCCAGGCCACAAACTTCTATCTCAAACTAGATGTGAAATTGTTAAGGTTCAGAATTACCCTGATTAGGGCCTTGGGTCAGGTCAATTTTTAGTTTTGTACTTATACATACATAAATTCATTATATGCAGAGGCAGCATTTGCACTTTTTTACACAAATTAAGTGCCCAATCTCTCTAGTTTCTTTGTAAGTCACAAGAGAGAAACAGGTTCATTTGGAGAGCTATTTTGGGTGTCTTAAGTTAGTGCTTGATCTTGCAGAGAGAGCAAATATTAAAATAGCCTGTATTAGTATGCACACTGTAACTTCCTTTACAAATGTGTCAGATTGTGATTATGAAGAAATTGGCAAATACCAACAGCTCAGGAGACTAATGGATATGAGTGTCTCTATATATAACCTTTGGTCCAAGTTCAGATACCAGGGGCTGCTTTCCCCTCTAGACTTCAGTGCCCTTATGTATTTAAAAATAAAAATAAAAAAAATTAAAAAAAAAAAGGCAGAAAGACAGGAAATGTGAAAGCAGCTCAGAATGCAGTTCCAACAAAAAAAGCAATTAAATTGATTTGCTCGAGGTGCCTGTATCTTAGTGACCTATTTTAACAGCCAGTGAGAGCCCAGCTAATAAACTAACCGTAGCAATTGCTTCTCCTTTCAACAGCAGGTGTCACCAGGGCCTTTAGGGAGAGTTGTGTCTGGCATACCAAAAAAGACAAATATGGCTATGTTTTATTATGGGGGCTTCGAAATAACGCAGCTTTGGAACGGTGAGATTCTGCAGAGAAATGGTCTTCTTAAAAATTAATTGACACGTAAGATTTGTTTAGTGAAAGCAAAATTGGTGAGATAAAGGACTGAAATGAAAGGCATGACACTGAGTTCTGTATTAGGAAATTTCTGAGGCAAAGAGTAATTCTGAAATAAATGCATATCTAGAAAGCTGAGACCATACAGTCAGGAACACAGTATTTTCTGAAAGCTAATTTGTTACTTGGCCAGCTCCATATCAGAAAACAGCCATTGCTTCAGTGCAAACAAAAACTGCAGTAACACTGGGGAATTTTTAAACAAATTCTCAGCAGCATCTTTTCAAGTCATTAATCAGTATTACCTTCAATTAGTTGTATTTTTCAAGAAGTCATGAAAAACGAGAAGCCTGTCTTCCTCACACTGATAATGGGAAGTTTCAGTATAAATATCTATACACTGAAACTTAAAAAGGAGACCTACTAGTTCTTAAATTCTTAGACCTTGAGCAACTCATTGATCTCTAACTTGAAGGCAGTTGGCTTTTCCAGCTATTATGAACTTTCTACATTATTAAAAATCTCTGTGACCTGCAGATGTGTTCACAGATGATTATCAAGCCCAGATCACCTAAAAGTGAAGGCATTCTGCAAAAACAGATGTTTCTCTCACAACACATTAGATACTAATCAGACACCTCCCATTCTCACTCATCTCTTTCTTTATCAAATTAGCTAAAGTAGTGCATAGGTAAATGAAGTCTGACAATAGCTCATTGTTCATACAAGGCACTACAAGTTTATTTTGGGGTTTGTTTCCTTAGATCAGCCAGTTCTTTTGAAATTATATGTCTTGTGCATTTACGTGCCTAAGAGGTGTCTGTCCATCAGGATTTCTGGTTCCCAGTCACTTTGTAATAGTACAATTCACTAATTTTAATAAGCTTTCACTCATTTGAAGAAAAACAGTTAGGACCAAAATCAAGACGGTCTGTACTTTAAAATAGTGGGTTTGGAGCATGATGCTTTAGATGCTGCAGTATGGCATTGTTTTGGCTGTAGGGACAGAAATCTAATAGAGATAAGAAATTATTCACGTTCCCTATACATCTCTCTGCATTTCTCAGTGTTTTGTATCTTAAAGGTGTACTGTATCCTAGTGTACAGCTCCTTAGATGTCCATTTTGTTCCACTAAAACCTGTGACGAGACTGCATTGACATTAATGAGAAGAGGATTATGCCTGCTCCCACTGTGTTGCCTATATTCATGGAAATTTTCAGGGCATCACAGTAAATTTGTCTCAGTGAGATAGCATTGCCAACTTCATTAAAACAACTATAGATATTTGAAAGTTTTAGATCTCCTCTTTTTTTTTTTTTTTTCTTATGACAATTACTTCATCCTTTCTGCACCGCATGGCAACTGAAATTTGGGAGTAACAATGCCAACACTTAGTCTCAAAGATTTTTTGGGAGCACTTGTTCCACAAATTAAATTATCTATATTTCTTTTAACAAAAAATACACAACACTCTCCTACCTAACATACTGATTAATTGTATCTTTGCATAAACTTTCCTTCTAGTATTTTTAATTACTTTGTATTTTCCTAGAAATCAATACAAGATGAAAAACGGAGACCAAGAAAAGAAAGGTATTTTTTTTTTCTTATCTCACTATTGTCATTCTTGTACTCTAGAAATAGTTCTTAGCTGTACTTTAACAAGGAGAATAAAGCATTAAACATGCATGGTAATTTGGTGTTTAACAGGAAGGGCATCATATACCAAGTTAAAATATGCAATTTTCAATAACAAAAATCCATTACAGAATTCAGTCATTCAGTTCTACTACAGCATGGTCCTTTACCATGGCAACGTAAGCACAATACTAAGTTAAGATAAGGTCCACATCAAAGATAGTTCTGACATAGAAAATAATTGAAGGTGCTTAAAATTCCAGTCAAAGCAAATGAGCAACCAGGGGCTTTTTTGTTAGTGAAAATACAAAGAATGCTCTCATACATTACTGTTTGGAAATATATACTTAAATTTTTAAAAATAATTATTAATAACAGGTAAAGAAGTGTAGACATCAAAATTTCAGAGTTCTTTTATTCACAGTGTAACTAACCTATTTTGATGGATCTCTGCAGAAATAAGAGAAACAATAGATATATTCTACCCTTCTGTATCTTAGAACCTTTTATGTGTGCTGTACACCAGGTTCACAGCTCCTGACATATATCATAGCTTTATTTTATTTGTGTTTCTATAGTTCAGCTTTTTTTTTGCTGCTCCCCAGTGACACTGCTTTGATAGCATGTGTGCTATCGTAGCCTGGTCAGAGATGCAAGATGAATGGCCTTTTAGCACTATCCTTGGCTGAGGTTGCAGAATATAAACTCTGTATCTAAAATACATATCTTAAAGGAAGTTACATGACATAGATTATATACATGTATTATGTGCTCACAGCATCTGGCTTCATTCAACCGTAGTTTAAGTTGAATTTGATTATGCCACTGCTTAAAGGATTCACTTAAGGTCCATGCCTCCTGTGTCTGGTCTGTTACAGCTCTTCTTTTGATGTCATTTGGATCCTGAAAAAAACTGCTGTTTTAACCAAAAACCAAACAAACCCCAAATCGAGTGTTTTCTCTCATTTGGCCTCAGGTTTCACTCATTTTAAATCTAGATAACCAGTTCCATGTCTTACATGTGCTGGCTCTGTATTGGTAGAACATGGCAACTGAAATCAGTGAGTTATTTCTGGTTTCTACCAATGTGAGAATTTAATTCAGAGCTTGCTTTTTTTTTTTTTTTCCCCAGGTTTCTTTTATTTTATTCTATTATTTTTCCCTAGTCATCCTAAACTGGGTGTCAGGATTGTTTTTTTCTGTACATATGATAGTCTAGATAGCATTCATCTAACAAAATAAGACATCTGCATTTCTGACACCAATATCTGAACTTGTTGCTTTAGATTCTCTTTTTGTACTCAGAGAAAAAATAGTCATCTTTAAGAAAATCATTAATCACTTCCTCAAAGAGATATCTAAAATAGGTCATACAAATTATACAATAAAAATGCCTCTCCATTGAGTATAATGGCAAAGCCAAACAATTTCAGTCATGTGTCTGCCTTATGAACATCTAAAAGTATTTAGCATTTCAAAATTCTCAACTTCTGCATCACACATCGGAGCCACTTCAGACTGATTTTTTGTGCTTATATGTATCTTTCCTTAGATCCTCAACACATAAAGCCAACTAATAATGATGTTTGGTTGCCTTGTTTGTGAATGTTGAATATAATATTGAAAAGTGAAGCTGCTAACTCAGTGTACTTCTTTATTGACAGTTTGAACAAAGTGTTAGATTTAGATATCTACTACCGTGAAATTTCATCTACCGATTCCACTTCAAAGGACAGCAGTTCTACCACAAGAAAGAAGAGACACCCAGTTGAGCGCAGGACTACAATTTTAAGAGCTTCCGAGCGGTAATTCATACAAAATAATAACGGGGGGAAAAGCTGCATAACCTTGCTGAGATATTCAAAAGATTCATAGGAAAGATACACTTTGAAATGAGACATAAATCTATTTTTTATACCTGTGGAATCTTGCTAAAGTAGCTTGCAAAATGTATCGCTGAAAATTCCCCATCTTTAGGCAGCAGGGACAAATGCTAGCATGACTGCTGCTCAGCCTACCTGCTAGTTTTTGGCTTCCCAAGTGCCAGATGAGATAGACAAACTGCTGTAAATCTCTGACCTAAAATCAAACTAAACTACAGCAGAACCTAAACCTTCTGTTCCTGAGAACTTTCAGCCTGCTTTCTGCAGATGAGACACAAGACTGACTGCCTCCTTTTCCTGCTGCCCTGTGTCAGCATATGCGTTTATAGATGTGGTGGACTTCACCAAGGTGAATAGCCAGGAGAAGAACCTTCAAGGAAGGGTTTGCTCCATCTCCTGTCTTCCTACATAGACTTCATAGAAGTGGACCTCTGCTGGGCTAAGGAAATTCATATTCTCACTTTTCCCAATGCACTCACATGCATTGTACATGCAAACACATATTTATGTATCTTCACATATTTGTATCTTCCTGTGTCTTCACATATGTAAGAAAAACTTGGAAAATATCTAGGTTGAAGGCTTAAGGGAAACACTAAGCCTGGGATGATAGCTGAATTTGAAAACGTATCCATAATAATAGAGAAAATATTTGTAGAATGTTTTGTGCCCCGTTTTTGGGGGTTTTGTTGTGGTTTTTTACATTTTTCAAGTAGGATCTAAAATATTTTTAGAAAGGTTTTGAAGACATGGAATAAAAAATAATATAATTAGGGACTTACCATATAGTTTACATCTCTTGGAAAATGTTGTCTTTCGAAGGTGGCTTATTACACCAAATCTGTCATGCCAAGCTCTGGTTTAGATTAATGAGAATTTTGCCACTGAGCTTACTATTGGGTGCTGCTCTGATTCCATCCTAATTTACCACAGTGAAAAAAAAATCTGTGTAACTTGTAAATTTACACTGTTACCTCTTGAGAGCAGATGAATACAATGAATAAGCATTTGTGCACTTCAGTATCTCTTGAATGGGATCACCAGGATCCGAAGACTATACAGTCATTTCAGTCCAGAGAAGTGAAGCATTGAGTATTTTTTTATTTGGCAGTTTGCCTTTGATGCTGGTGTGGGACCAGCAGTAGAGTACACCTTTGGTATAGAACACGACAGATTTTTGTAATTATTTCAGAGTAATATTCCTTTAAAATAACTGAGTTTGATTTTTAATCCTGCTCCACGATAACACCTTGTGCCAGCCCACCATTCCAGCCAGCTTCCAAAATGCATCTTGCCATCTGAAAAAAGAAAAGGAAAAAAAGGAATAGGGAAAAAAACCCCAGAGATGGACACTTAGAGTGAGCCCCACAGGCGAGTTAAAAACAGAGCAAACAAATTTATGCCAACTGAAAAGCTGGTTCAGTAGCCATCAGGCAAACACTACTGCAAAGCACCCCCATGTTCTCAAGTGCTTTTATGTCCTTTTATTATGTCCCCTTCGTAGAAGAACATCTTGTTCTTCTGTGTTCATCTGCTTTTAGTATATAATGTGTTTGTTCCGAGGTGCCTGCTTTATGCAGCACAGGAAGAGGCCTAACAAGGTCAGTTGGTATTTTTTCGTTCTCCTTTTATTTTCCCCCCCTGCAAGGGTGGTGGTGAAGCAGTCGATTAGGAGTGTTTGCCAAGGTAAATGTTTTGGCTTTAATTTCTAAAACACTTCTTTGCTTAATCCATAGGCCCAGGATTGCAGAAAAGCCCCTGGAAGAGAGTAAAACTGAAGATAATCCCTATGACTACAGACGACTGCTGCGGAAGACCTCACAGCGCCGGCGCCTTATCCAGCAGTTCTAGCTGCTGCTGCTGTTCCTGCTGCCATTTGGCTCTTATTAGCATAATCTTTTTTATCATTTTATACCATGTGCTTCCTTTTTTTTTTTTTTTTAATCTCCGATGTTTCAAGTTTACAACGTGTGTGTTCATGTGAATATGAATGACTGTGGTTCACAGCCCAACACCGTTGCAAAGGGACACTGTCAGCTGCATATCATATACTTTAAAAATATAATATAAAAATCAGCTTTCTTTTAGATACCACTGCTACATCTGGAAATTATTAAACAATAAGCAGCTTAAATCTAGTTTACTTTCCTCAGTGCATATTTCTTTCTTTTTTGCATTTCATTACTCATCCAATTAAAATAGATAATTTAGTTTATAATTCCCTAGTTAGGCTTCCAAATTCCCGTATGCATCTTCAGAAAACCTTAGTTATTGTTTCTAATAAATTGTTTTATGGGAAAAACAAATACAAACACATTATAGAGGAATTACTGATCATTTTAGGTGTACAATGCCTAAATGTTGGGATTCACTGTTCGTGGTAACTGTCCCTTTAATGAAAACAAACATAAAGTATTAATTGAATAGCATACTATGGCAGTTGATTTTATTATTGACTTTACTGTAAAGCTAGTAGCCAGTTTTAAAGGTCAATATCATGTGTATAATCTTTACATTGGAGATATCTGTTTATGGGAAGTATACCCAGCCCTCTCCTCTGCCCCTGAGCTTTGTGACTAAGTGATGAACTTCTAAATTGTGTTTGCTTTGTTCTCCTTTGCATTAGATTTTTAGAAATCGTAATTTCTGGGGTGCCAAGCAAGGAATAGAAATACACTCCCTGGTTGATTGCTGCCTAAATGTAATGATCATTCTTAATCAGTTCCACTAGAAATTAAGCGGAAATAAAAGCAATAGCCACTGCGTTCAAATTTTCCCCTGACTCCTTATTCAAAAGACCTTATTTCACAGAAACCACACCGATAATTGCTGTGCTTCCTTTCAGGATTCATAATTGCATGTTCCCAGCTGCAAAGCAAGAGAGGGCAGATTTCATGATGCCAGTAGAAAGGCCTGATCCTGCTCCCTTGCTTAGCTCTCCAGATGCTACGACTGGCGGCAGCAGCGAGCTGCAGGGTTTGCGATTTAGCCTGTTCCCTCCACACACACTTGGCCCTTTCCCCAGAGACAGGTAACCATTGCTTCCTGATCTGTAACTAATTTTAAGAATGTGCGCCAGATTAAAACTTGCTGCAATGTAAAATCTGTGATAAAATGTTTAAATTTCAAAATCTGTTTAAAAGTTGCTTTCTTATGTATTATTAACATGGTAAAGTAAATAAAAATGCACAAGGCAGTGATTCAGTTGGCTGCACCTGAATTACACCCAGAACTGACAAAACACTATGGACTGGGGCAGGAGCGAGCAAGGCAGGGAAGAATTCACAGCAGCCTTTCTCCTTGGAAAGCCTGAGGTATCAGCTACATTTCCTTGAAGCTGTTGTGATCTGGAAACTGGGAGAGATTTCAGAGGTGCCAGGGCTAGTTTTCTTTTACTTTTCCACTACAGCTGTGTTGAAAAACATCAAGACATTGCCCTGAGATTTCACGGGGGGACAGTCCTAGTAACCATGTGTGTCCATGTGGAAAGTGGAGAGAGATGGTCTCGGCAGAGCACAGGCCGGGAGCCCCCAGGGCCTGGATGCCAGGAGCAGTGGGGGTCCTGGGTGACCAGGGCTCTCGGCAGGGCCAAACCCTGGCCTGGCACGATCTCACCTGCCTTCCTCCTAGGCTCAGGGCTGGAAATCCCTCCTGTGCTGGAGGAGAGAAAGCCACGGCAAGGAAGGGCTCCCTGCTCCCACGAGGAACCAGCTGAGTGGAAAGGGGAGTTTGGTTGCCTTCAAAACCGAAGGTGGGGAGGGAAGGGGAGCCGTTATCCTTCTCCAGTCTTCTCTCCGAGACCTGCTGCCTCCCACGGGGACGAAGTGGGAAGGACGGCCCCACCAGGGTCTCCATCCACAGGGGGCTGGGGGGAAAACCAGCGGGAGTGGCCTGGGAATGCAGCAGCTGTGCCAGCCAGGCAGGTGCAGGAGCCGGGGGCCGTCCCCCAGGCAGCC